CAGAGAAAGGTCCTTTTGGGTGGGATTTCTGTACAACTGAGTGAATAGTCACTGTTTTGCGTTGTATTTTCAAACCCAGTGTGGTCGCAGAAGGTGGTGGGGTGCCCAAAGCTGGTAGGGTTTTCAAGTGAATCATGGAATCGTAGAACAGTCTAGGTTGGAAGAGACCTCGAAAGCCAATCTGGTCCAATCTTTAAGTGGCTGTGTTTGAAGTCTCTGACCACTGATGGCAGACCAGAAAATCCCCAGGGGGACATTCTTCACTTCTGCTTCACTGACCTAACAGGGAGTGAGGTGTGCTGGCTTCCCATCTTTGCTGCTGCAGCAGTAGAACTAGACCAAGATAAGCACAGTAGGAAAAAGTGCAAAATTCAACATTTTGTGTCAGAGCATGTGATGTGTTATTTTGTCCAAAATTTACCACAAAATCTCTAAAGAAGTAAGAGCTGTAATACGAGCAACCAAGCTCTGCTTGTCATCTTTGTAAAATGCAGCACTGTCATTTGTTCCCCTTACTGCTCTGCCTGTTCTCTACCACACAAAAAATGGAAGATGCAGCCCTCCTTCTCCGTAAGCCACCTGTTCCTACAGGGACAAATAAAGAATTATCATGTTAGTCTCTCATTTTAATAGAAATAAAATACAGTACTAGGGATTGTGTAAATATTAGGTACCTACCTCTATACAGGAGAGAAATAAATAAATGTTTTCCTATGCTTCCCACTGTTTTTTTTCTGGTGGGGAAAAAAAAAAATGTTTTCAGAGAAAGTAATACCGGCTTTAAAATTTCTTATTTTTTAAATTCCTGGGTTGAACTTTGAATGATAGAATCATCATTACGTTTAACTTCATTTTCCCCTAAAATTATATTAATTTTAAAACAGGAAAAGATAATAATAGAAATGGAACTATGCTAGTGTGTTTTGGAACAGCATTCTTTTCTTTTAACAGGCATTGTAGCTATTTATGCTTGCAATAGAGAACTCACTAAAATTAGCAAATAATTGAATCAATGATACCAATGTTTTAGAGACTGAAACTGAGCCATTAAGATGCACAATTTGTCTGTATGCAACTCAAGACAGTGGTGTATGAGCTTTCTGAGCTTTCTGAATTAGTATCCCTTAGGAAGAAACTGCATTTTCAAGTGAATTTTAAAAGAATGCCTAAGCAGCCGAAAGGAATTTTCAGGTTCTTAACTCCACAAGACAGTGCCTAAAGACTTGACTATTAAGTTATTATGGATTATTTCAAATGTGATTTCATTACAGTGGACCCTGAGCCAAACAATGTCCCAAAATAAATTTTCACATTTTCCATAAATCTTGAATCACATCAATGCAAAAATATACAATTACTTCCAAAAAAGCTATGAAGAACACCTTTCTTTTCCCATCTTTTCTTCTACTAACAAGTGCTTACTTTTTTACACATTTGGTTAACATATCTGCTTTTCCACAGTGATCTCTGCTGACGAGCCCCTCCATAAAGTGCAGCCATGTCGTCAGACTCCGAGATGGCCGTCTTTGGGGAGGCAGCTCCTTACCTCCGAAAGTCAGAAAAGGAGAGAATCGAGGCCCAGAACAAGCCGTGCGATGCCAAGACATCCGTCTGTGTGGTGCACCCTAAGGAATCCTTTGTGAAAGGGACAATCCAGAGCAAGGAATCAGGGAAGGTCACCGTCAAGACTGAAGCTGGAGAGGTGGGTAAAATGCAAGATTGGCGAGCAGCATTAAATTCCCACTCTGAGATCTTAGCTGACATACATGGTTCTCCTCCTTCTGACAGACCCTGACTGTGAAGGAAGATCAAATCTTCTCTATGAACCCTCCCAAGTACGATAAAATCGAGGACATGGCCATGATGACCCACCTCCACGAACCCGCTGTGCTGTACAACCTCAAAGAGCGTTACGCAGCCTGGATGATCTACGTAAGTACCAGCAGCAGTCTTCCTTTGGGTAGCTAGGAGGAACTGCTCTGCCAGGCTAAGTGGAAGCCAACGTGCTGTCTCCCTTCCTCGCAGACCTACTCGGGTCTCTTCTGCGTCACTGTCAACCCCTACAAGTGGCTGCCGGTGTACAACCCAGAGGGGGGGGTGGCCTACCGAGGCAAGAAGCGCCAGGAGGCCCGCTGCGGAGGCAAGAGGCGCCAGGGGGCCCCTCCACACATCTTCTCCATCTCTGACAATGCCTATCAGTTCATGCTGACTGGTGAGTGGCTCTATGTGTCTCAGTGGGATTGTACCACGAAATTCTCTGAAGGGATACTGTGTCTTAGTAATAGGAGGAGATTTTTCAAGGCTTTCATGGTTTTGATGCATACATACTATTGTGTCTTTTCCTATCTTCACACCATTGTTTCTACTATTTTAAATGAAGAGTGCCCCAGTGCACCCAGTGTTGTGGAGGCTTTTTGTTTGGTTGTTTGGGGTTTTAGGTCAAGCTGACAGCATGGAGTTGAAAACATTAAACTTACCTGACTACATTTCATTCTTTCTGTGTTGTTCTTTGAGTTTTAAGTACTATATTTCTGCCTCTTTCACAGACCGCGAGAACCAGTCGATCCTGATCACGTATGTACACCCCTGCTCGGGTCCCTGCAGGGCTGCCTGGTGCCAGGGGACCTCCTGCCTGACCACATGCTCTCTGCTTCTTTCTTTGGTTTGACAGCGGAGAATCCGGTGCAGGGAAGACTGTGAACACAAAGCGTGTCATCCAGTACTTTGCAACAATTGCAGCGAGCGGGGATAAGAAGAAGGAAGAGCAGCAGTCAGGCAAAATGCAGGTAAATTAATAGGTGCTGGCTTGAATCAATGCTTTCCTCTGTTCCTGAGATGATTTTTGGAAAGGATAACCAGCAATAATTATTGTCCTCTAGGGAACGCTTGAGGATCAAATCATCAGCGCCAACCCACTGCTGGAGGCCTTTGGAAACGCCAAGACCGTGAGGAATGACAACTCTTCACGCTTTGTAAGTTACTTAACCAAATGATTCCTGAAAAATAGTAAACAGGCAGTCATTCTTTTCTGTTGTTTAGCCATGTTTTCAAGAGTAAGATTTAATTTTCTTACCATGACTTTACCACTTATACTGAAGGTAATTAGGTTTCAAAAACAGTGATTCTAATAAAAAATAATTCCGCTTTGCATTGAGATGCAAATTAAAATAACAGATCACATGCTCTTTATCCTATAATGTATTGCAGTGTTAAAAAATAGGGTTTTTTTAAATTTTTACTTATATTTCTATTAATTTACTAAAACACAGAGAGACAGAATGCCAGGAAGAAAGGAAGAGAGGTTAGGAAAGATGGGAAAGAAAGAGAGAAAGAGAGAGAGAAAGAGAGAAAGAAATGAAAGAAAGAAAGAAAGAAAGAAAGAAAGAAAGAAAGAAAGAAAGAAAGAAAGAAAGAAAGAAAAAGAAAGAAAGAAAGAAAGAAATAGCAATACAGATTTAAACAGCTGAACTAGTTAAATAGCTATTTCCGTATCATTAAGGCAACTGCTGTCTGTATGTAGGATATAGTTGGAAGAGTTTGGCTAAATTAAATCCACCCATTCCTTCCCATTTGTACATTCAGCATGCATAAAATATACATCACTGTTGATTATTTTCATGGTCAAAAATGCAAAAGATGACTTCATGTCAACGGTGGAAATATACCTGATTCTTAAGAAAATGTCTCTTAAGTAGAAATCGTAAAGTGGAGTAAATGGCAAAATATTATTTGAGATGTATTTTTATGATGTAAATCTTAAGAACCTTTTATTCCTTTAAAGGGCAAATTCATCAGAATTCACTTCGGTGCCACAGGAAAACTAGCTTCTGCTGATATTGAAACATGTAAGACACTTTCCTTAACTGTTCACAATCCATCCATTCACTCATCTATCCATACAATACCACTTCACTCAATCATACTTTCTTTTTTGCTGTTTCTTGTTTCTAATTAAATTTTCCCTCCAGATCTGCTGGAGAAGTCCAGAGTCACTTTCCAGCTCAAAGCAGAAAGAAGCTACCACATATTTTATCAGATCATGTCCAACAAGAAGCCAGAGCTAATTGGTAGGAAAAACTACTAATTTGAAGGAAGATTGCTGAACATCAGCTAACACTATTACTTGCTTGACTAAACTAAGTGTCCATGTCCCTTCTTACTTTCAGACATGCTTCTCATTACCACCAACCCATATGACTATCACTTTGTGAGTCAAGGTGAGATCACTGTTGCCAGCATTAATGACCAGGAGGAACTGATGGCTACAGATGTAAGTAATAATTTAAAGTGTTGTATCTATTGTCATCTCTCCCAGACAAAGTTTTTATTTTATTGTTCCTATTGCAGAGCGCCATTGACATCCTGGGCTTCACTGCTGATGAAAAGACTGCCATCTACAAGCTGACAGGCGCTGTCATGCACTACGGGAACCTGAAGTTCAAGCAGAAACAACGAGAGGAGCAGGCAGAGCCCGATGGCACAGAAGGTATTAACAAAGTCTGTGGCTGACCTGTTAGAAATAAAAGTAGCAATAATAATTCAGTATTTGGAAGATCAAGAAAGAGAACAGTGGAAATGTGTGAAAAAGTGTTTATTTGAGCTAGTGTATAGGTATGAAACTGCCATCCAGTATATACATTTTTTTCAATTACTACCTAATCTTTATTTGAAGTATAAATCGAATATATGTCCATAATTCTCTGCTGGGCTGCCACAGTTCTGGACAGCACAGCCTGTTCAGTGTGCTTATATTAAAGACCTACTGAGAAGAGAAAGATTTTTCAGAAAATATATTTCTGGTTGCTTAAAACAAAAAAAGAAAAAAAAAAGGAGGCATGAAATTTAGAATTAGAACTTCTCCTTCATAAATCACATAGTATCGTAGAATGGTTTGGGTTGGAAGGGACTTCAAGGATCATCTAGTTCCAATCCCTCTGCCATGGGGATGGGGCCTCCGTGATGTTGTTCAGGAATTTTGCCCAGGTAAAAGGGAACTTTCCTTCAATTTCTTTCTTCTCCTTTGGAGATTCAAACCCGTAATTATCACTACATAGTAGTATTATTTGAATACCAGTCTAAGTGAGGCATAGGTAGACTATGCTAGGGAAGAACTGACTTAGACTTCTACTTCCCAGCTGACTACCTAATTGCTTAAATTTTATATAATGCATACATGGTTTAAAATGACTATGCCCTGTCTACTTCTTCCAAAGAATGCTTTCAGATGGCCAGCTTCAGGACTGAATTTTTAGGTTTTGATCCCGAATGAATGAATGTTCTTGCCTTTCTGCTATGACTATGAGTCTCCAGAAAGGGGCACTTCCTAATTGTTAGCTATAATTTTGGAATGCATTCCCCTTTAGGGTTATAGCTGCTGCCAAAGAATACAGGTAGCCCAAGTACCTATGTGTATGTTTTGGATTACACTCACATGGCCAACCTGCTGACACTTTGCTGTTTTGTTGCCTGGCTTATAGGTAGCAATTAGCTCTGGACTGAAGTGATGAACTTCAGCTTTCAGGATGAATTTTTAATAACTATATTGTTTCTAGATGCTTCTGTGAAGATTTTTAAAGACACAAATCACAATTAGGTGTATTGCTCTGAAAAGCTTTCAGAACAAAGATGATTTTGTTTTTAATGACTGCCATGCTTCCTCTGAGATCCAATAAGCAGAATTTGATCACTGTTGCTTTGGAAAGGGTTTATCACTCAAAATGCTGCGTGTCTTGTTAGTCTTAATTTTTCTGTCTCCTTGTCCTTCTACTTAGTTGCTGACAAGGCAGCCTACTTGATGGGTCTGAACTCAGCAGACCTGCTCAAGGCCCTCTGCTACCCTCGAGTCAAAGTTGGAAACGAGTATGTGACCAAGGGTCAGACTGTGCAGCAGGTAACAACCAGTTGGTGATTGGGAACCTCTGGCTTGTATCACCATTTGCTCCAGATATTGTTTTTCTTCTACTCCATTCTTCTTTGGTTTAGGTGAACAATTCAGTGGGTGCTCTGGCAAAGGCTGTCTATGAGAAGATGTTCCTGTGGATGGTTGTTCGCATCAATCAACAGCTGGATACGAAGCAGCCCAGACAGTACTTCATTGGTGTCCTAGACATTGCTGGCTTTGAGATCTTTGATGTAAGGATTCCAGGTTTGATGACTGCTTTTGCAGGAGGAGATTGCTATATCAAAGAACTTCCAAGTAATATTCCTCTGAAGGTTTAACATTCTAGTCATTTGCAATTTTCTGGGAAAAAATCCGTTGTTTTCTTTTGTAGCACAGAGCAAAAGCCTCAGAAGCTTCATCAGTACAAGAACAGATTTATGTTGCTTGTGTAGAAATGGCAAATAGAATTTTATATGTTGCAATATTTTAACAGTTTGAGTTTAATATTAATGATTTTAAAAAACCCAACATAATTACAATAATTTTATATAAGAGCTTCAGGAGCAGAACTAGGATTTGGAGGCCCATTCACAAACATACAACAGGTTAAAGATATGTAAATTGTTTAAAGGACCAAGGAATGAAAAGATATGTATTGAATCAGAGATACTAGTGTTTAAAAATTGGAGACCAGTGCATACACTCATCTTTTTGGCTGAACCAAAAAAATGCTAATGTACTTTATGAATTTTAGGAGATTCTCTAGGAATATCTGCATTGGAAAAATTTCCATTTTCATTATGTAGATATTTCTTTCAGAAGCTGCATATAGGTCCTGCTATGGTGAAGTCCTGATAATACAGTTGTGTTTTAATCAGGAAGGTTTATAAAGAGTTGAGAAGGATCAAGAACTGTGCATGTTGACAATGAGTTGTTGCTTTTTTTTCAACTGGGAAGTTCAACAGCCTGGAGCAGCTGTGCATCAACTTCACCAATGAGAAACTGCAACAGTTCTTCAACCACCACATGTTTGTGCTGGAGCAGGAGGAGTACAAGAAGGAAGGAATTGAATGGACATTCATTGACTTTGGGATGGACCTGGCTGCCTGCATTGAGCTGATTGAGAAGGTAAATTTTTAATTCAAAATGTCTTGTATTTTCAGGAACTCATTATTTTAAATTGAAAATTGTTAAATGCTATTTATTAAAAAAAAAAAAGTCTCTTCCATGGTTAGTTTCATGTATTCAGTTTTAGTTGTTGAAATATCTCTTGATCTGTAGCATTACTTACTATGCATTAGAGATATTACAAAATCCACAGATGATAACTATGGAAATATTCCTCACACATCTTCTATGTGGAGAGTATGTCCACTTGCTAGCTTAAAGGACTGTTTTATTTTTTTCCAAAAACACAGAGCAGGTCCCAAAGTAAAATAAAAATATTTTTTTTAAGATTCTGGAATAAAATTATCTGGACAATACAATTTTTTTCTGCATGGTTCATAGCAAAGTAAGTACAGGCCAATCCAGTTAGTGCCTGACCTCTGAATGCAAGAAACTGAACAAGATTTTTTGTAGTTCCAGGTAGTTTAGGGATTTGATTAAAAGTACAAAACCTGAAGTAAATATAAAATGGACACATTTGTGAACAATATTTTGAAATACATTCATTCTCCTGATTTTTAACATGATTTTTGACATAAGAAAACATTCCTGAATCACTGTGCCAAAGTGTGAGCCAAGCAGGTGAATCTTTTAAACAACATTTTAGAAATAACTTTTCTTCATGGCAAGAGTATTGGTTTGTTTCTCAGCTTCCTATCTTTTGCTATATTCCCTTTAAGAACAAGTCATGACCATATTATTCTACAGGTATTCTCTCATTATTGTACTATCTTCCAGCCCATGGGCATCTTCTCCATCCTGGAAGAGGAGTGCATGTTCCCCAAGGCAACTGACACCTCTTTCAAGAACAAGCTCTATGACCAGCATCTGGGCAAGTCCAGCAACTTCCAGAAGCCCAAGCCTGCCAAAGGCAAGGCTGAGGCACACTTCTCCTTGGTGCACTATGCTGGCACGGTGGACTACAACATCACTGGCTGGCTTGAGAAGAACAAGGACCCCCTGAACGAAACAGTTATTGGGTTGTACCAGAAATCGTCTGTGAAGACTCTGGCTTTACTTTTTGCCTCCTATGGTGGAGCAGAAACAGGTTAGTTTTCTAAAATTCTTGTTTTCCAACATTTATGATAGGTAAAGATGAAACAAAAAAAATATTAAAACACTCTTTTTGTTTTTGAAGAGGCTAGTGGTGGTGGTGCTGGTGGTGGAAAGAAGGGTGGCAAGAAGAAGGGTTCTTCCTTCCAGACAGTCTCAGCTCTTTTCCGGGTAAAGTATAAAATCCATGTGACATGAACATAGTTTCAAATCTGAGCTATCTAAACTCCTGTTCTTCTCATGACCTTGGTTTTATGATGAAACAATAATAAGTATGAATGAGAAGAAGTTACTCGCTGCCTTTTCCTAATAATTATCTGTTCACATTTCGGATATGTTTCAAGCAGTCTTCAGCTGACCCTCTGAATTTCTTTTAAAAGTTCACTTGCCTTCTTTGTGAAAAATATTTTTCAGAATTTGGGATGTAATATAAATATTAATTAAATAAAGTCTTGTGTTAAAATTTTTATACAGTAGTGTTTTATTTCCTCCAGACTAAGGTGCAGAATTTAAAACTTTCTTTTAATGAGAATACTTAACTATATAGAAGTTTCATTAAATCTAAATTTTAAATTTGAAAGCTTCTTCCTCCTATGATTCGTTATATTAGTTCCTTGCTATCTAGATACAGAGCATACAGAAGTAATTTTTTCTAATCTAAGCTGCTACACATGATCCCACAGGAGAATTTAAACAAGCTGATGACCAATCTGCGGAGCACTCACCCCCATTTTGTCCGTTGCATCATCCCAAATGAAACAAAAACACCTGGTAAGATGCTCAAGCAGAAGAACTTCCTTTGATACATCCATTCCCCTCTGCACTGGGAACTGTGGCATTCATTTATGCTC